CGCACACTACAGGACAATTTACACATGGCCAATCCACCCTAACCTACGTATCCCCGCACACTACAGGACAATTTACACATGGCCAATCCACCCTAACCCACACATCCCCGCACACTACAGGACAATTTACACATGGCCAATCCACCCTAACCTACACATCCGTGGGCACTGCTTTGGCAAGAGGAGGGTGAATGAGATTAATGGTTGCAAAGAACACTGTTAGGAAATGGACTTGCCACGCTGTTGACAGTGTATCTTTCTAACTTCCTTTAGCCTCTGTGGGCACGGGTTTGCTGAAACTGAGCGGGGACCCTGCGATGAAATGGACACGGTCCGAAGCGGACGCGGTGAGATGTAAAGCTGGTATAACACGACGACCCCAGCGGAGGGGTCTGATAGATAGGCTGCGGGAGCCGGATCGACCCATTGGTGAGAAGGTTCAGATCCAACCCAGAGAGAAGGGAGGGGAACAGAACAGAATAAAAACAAAGTGACTCGCAGAACCTTGCAGGCAGGAGAAAGTAAGCGATGCAATAAAAAGGGCAGACGTTGCACCGTCAACAAAAAGGTGTTGGAAGAGAGACAGCAAGGTGTAGAGCTGGATGAACACAGCAGGCCAAGCAGCATCACAGGAGCAGGAAAGCTGACGTTTCGGGTCGAGACCCTTCAAGAGAGAGATGGCTTGGCTCTGCACACATGGGCACAACGCATCGCTGGACGAATCGGGCGTCCGCCAGGACAACGCTAGCTCGCCGTGCAACGGGTCATCGGCGGCGCCGCCGGTGGAGGTGGGCTTGGTGGTGAGGAACGAGCTGTTGGCTCGCTTGGAGGTGGCCGTTCTGTCCGTCATCCTGGTGCTGGCGCTGGGCGGCAACCTGGGCGTACTGCTGGCGATCCGCTCGAACCGCCGCAAGCCGTCTCGCATGTTGTTCTTCGTGAAGCACCTGAGCATCGCGGACCTGGTGGTGGCCGTCTTCCAGGTGCTGCCCCAGCTCATCTGGGAGGTCACCTACCGCTTCTACGCGCCCGACTTTGTGTGCCGCGGGGTCAAGTACCTGCAGGTGGTCGGCATGTTCGCCTCCACCTACCTGCTCATCGTCATGTCCATCGACCGGTGCCTGACCATCTGCCAACCCCTCAAAACCCTGCAGCAGCGCACCACCCGACCCTACGTGCTCTGCTCCTGGTTGATCAGCCTCCTCTTCAGCACCCCCCAGGTCTTCATCTTCTCCCTCAAGCAGGTAGGGCCCGGCGCCTACGACTGCTGGGGGGACTTCGCCCGGCCCTGGGGAGCCCGGGCGTACATCACCTGGATCACCCTGTCCGTCTACGTGCTGCCCGTCGTCGTGCTGCTCGTCTGCTACTCGCTCATCAGCTTCAAGATCTGGCGCAACGTCCGGCTGAAGACCCAGCGGGAAGCCCGCGCCTCCTCCTTCTCCGGGGGCACCCTCATGCTCTCCAGGGTCAGCAGCGTCAAGATCATCTCCCGCGCCAAGATCCGCACCGTCAAGATGACCTTCGTCGTCGTCCTGGCCTACATCGTCTGCTGGACGCCGTTCTTCGTCGTGCAGATGTGGAAGGTGTGGGACGAGCACGCCCCCGAGGAGAGTAAGTCTCTCTCACTCTTCTTGCGACCCCGACCTCCCCCACCCAACCTGCGCGGGGCCGCTCATCGTGACCGCGGCTCATCACCTAACTCAATTCCATCCCCCACCACCAACCCCGCCCTCACACCTCTCCCCCTTCCCACTTCCATCATCCGACTCAATCCTCCCGCCGCCTGCCCCAAACTCTTCCCCTTCCTGCTTTCATCACCCAACTCAATGCCCCCCTTCCCACTTCCATCATCCAACTCAATCCCCCCTTCCCACTTCCATCATCCAACTCAATCCCCCCCCA